GACCCGCCTGGACAGCGAGACCTCATCTCTACAGTAAATCAAAAAATCAGCCGGGTGTGGTAGCATGCACCTGTAATTCCGGCTACTTGGAAGGCTGAGGCGGAAGGATCGCCGGAGTCCAGCAGGCGAGGCTGCGGTGGCCGGGAGCGGCCACTGCACTCCAGTCTGGGTGACAGAGTGAGACTCCAACTCAAAAAAATAAAAATAAGTGTCCCTACTCTTGGCGCAATGGCCAGTCATGACTCTTACATTTCCCAGCAAAGGAAGGAAATTAACAATGTGTCCTTCTTTCTTTGACGTCCCTCACGTTACTCATTCACTGAGAATGTCTGCCTAAATGCCTCTCTAAATCCACATCAAGAGCTAGGAAAATATAAGCTCTGCAGAATCTGGATCACAGCTTTCTGCACATCAGCCCCCACTCAGAAAGCTTCATGTGACACCTTGTTGCTGAGAGGACAAAATCCTTTCTGCATACTTGGGATCCAAGGTACTCTACACACTGAGATAAATCTAGCCTTTATAAATGTTCATATTCCCACCTCACCACTTTGCTCAAGATGGAGTCTACAATGCCTGCATTCATACCTAGCAATCTACTGAATGCATCATCTTGCCCAAGTTAATGAACATGAGCCTCAAAAACAAAACAAAAAAAAGAATGTACAGGAAGGATCTAACTTTGACCTTCACTTAATGGGTGTTGATAAATGATAGCCTGCTGTATCAATGATACAATTATATCATTATGATACAATGATATACTTTGGAAAGGATTAGAACCTAAACCAAAGAAAGTGTAACTGGCCAAACCTTTTTATAGAGAAGTCTAATCATATGTACCAAAATATAAAATGTATATAACTTTGACCCAGAAATCCCACTTTGCTCAATCTACTTTTAAGTGGTAACTGAAAAAGTGGGAAAATGTGTAGTCATAGAGATGACTGTTTATAATGGCAAAAAAGTTCAGAAACAATCTAACTGCCAACTAGGAATAAACCAAGAAAGTTACGTAAACAGACACTAACATAACTTTCCAAGCTAAGTCAATTTTTCCCTTTTTCCCCCAGAATTGGTTAATACTTTTTACAAGACACATGTATCATTTTTTCTAGAATCAGAGTAACTATTTTTTTTTAATTTTTTTAAACACACAAAGGAAAGCAGTCCTTAAAGGATATTTTCCCTGAATTCTAAAGGCTAATTATCATTTTACATATCACAGATGAAAGTTTAGTGCAGCTTTAAAGATAAGGCAATAACTCAAACACCAGCAAAAATTAAGGCTAAAATAAAGTAGATGAAATGACTATTATTTTTTTTTTGCATAAAATCAGATAATTCTGTCCTTTTACTACTTCCACATACAAAGAAAAGAACTCTATGCTCTAGCTACAGTCTTTACACTTAATCCCAAACATCTATGTCCTATGTGAAGCTCTTGTCATAAGAGACAAAGAAATAAAAACCAGTGGGTAGTAGAGAACAAGCCCACCTGTGATGCTAATAAGACCTGACATCCATACTCACCAGAGGGCTGCTGCAGCATCCTGGAATTATTACTACAGGACCACAGTTATGATGGGCAGTAATGATTTGGACAACTGTTAGTGCTTAAGAATGGATTTTAGATCTTTGGTTTACAGCTATTTGGGCTTGAGGGCTTTACTATTTCCATTAAAATGATAAATGCATAATAAAAAATTGAAACCATACAGAATAACAAAAAACAGAAAATTATCCTCTAAAATCACAGCTCACAGCAATAATTACTATTAACGTTTAGTGTTTATGATATTTTGCTTTTGTTGTTATACCTATTGCAAAGGAACTAATCATTTCTCATCCATTATAATGGCAAAAATTAAAAAGTGTGTCAACAGCCAGGCTCGGTGGCTCGGCCTGTAATCCTGCGCCTTTGGGAGGCTGAGGTGAGTGGATTGCCTGAGCCTGAGGGTTCGAGACCCGCCTGGGCAACTTGGCAAGACCTCATCTCTACAATAAATCAAAAAATCAGCCGGGCGTGGTGGCGCACGCCTGTAATTCCGGCTACTCGGAAGGCTGAGGCAGAAGGATCGCCGGAGCCCAGCAGGTCGAGGCTGTGGTGACCAAGAGCGGCCACTGCACTCCAGTCTGGGTGACAGAGTGAGACTCCAACTCAAAAAAAAAAAAGTGTGTTAATATTAGGTGTTGACAATGTTGTAAGGAAATAACACCTCGTGTGCTATTGATGAGAGTGTAAATTAGTGCATTAACACATGGGAAAGCAATGTGACTGAATCTATAAGTTATGGACAGACTACATGTCTGTGTCCCTCCCAAATTCATATGTTGAAAACTTAACCCACAATGGGATAATCATATTAGGAGAGTTCGTCTTTGGGAGTTAATCAGGTTTACATAAGGTCATGAGGGTGGAGCCCCCATCATGGGATTAGTGTCCTTGTAAGAACAGACCAAGATTAGAATTCACTCTATCCACTGAGAAGATAGCCATCTGCAAACCAGGAAGAGGACTGGGATATGGCAGTGCCTAGATCTTGGACTTCCCAGCCTGCAGAACTGTGAGAAATTAATGTTTGTTGTTTAAGCCATCAAGTCTATTGTATCCTTGGTATAGCAGCCCAAACTAAGACACTATATAATCTAAAAATGTGAATGTCCTGAGAGCCAGTCATGTAACTTTTTATATTAAGATATAATTCACATACAATAAAACTGACTCTTTTAAGTTATACAATTCAGTGGGTCTTATATTCATGGAGTTGCACAACTGTCACACTAATTCCAGAACATTTTCATCACCCCAAAAAAGAAACTCCATATCCATTAGGAGTTACTCTCTACTCTCCCCTCCCATTTTTTTTTTAATCATATTTATTTTGCCCAAGGCACCACTCATCTGACTTTCTGTCACTATGGATTTGTCCATTCTGGACATTTCAAATAAATGGACCCATGTGATATGTGGCCTTTTGTAACTGGCTTCTTTCACTAAGCATAATATTTTCAAGTCATCCATAGTGCAGCATGAATCAGCACTCCAATCTTCTCTATGGCTGAATAATATTACAATTTATGAATATATTACATTTGGTTATCTATTCATCAGTTGCTAGACATTGACTTCTTTCTACATCCTGGCTATTATAATGCTGCTATGAGCATTTTTGTACAATGTTTTTTGTAAACATATGCTTTTATTTCTCTTGAAGTACCTAGGCATGAAATTGCTGGGTCAAATGTTTAAATTTTTGAGAAGCTGACAAACTGTTTTTCAAAACAGTGCACCATTTCACATTCCCATCAACAATGTATAAGGGTTCCAATTTCTCTACATCCACACAAACACTTGTTATTATGGGTCTTTTTGTTATAGTCATCATAGTAGGTATGAGGTGGTATCATTGTGGTTTTGATTTGCATTTCTCTAATGATTAAGGGTGTTGAACAGCTTTTCATGCACTTGTTGAGTATTTGTGTATTTTCATTTTTCTTTCTCTTTTTTTTTGTTGGAGTCTCACTCTGTCACCCAGACTGGAGTACAGTGGCTGCTCCCGGCCACCGCAGCCTCGACCTGCTGGGCTCCGGCGATCCTTCCACCTCAGCCTTCCAAGTAGCTGGAACTATAGCCGCGCGCTACCACATCCAGCTGATTTTTTGATTTATTGTAGAAATGAGGGCTCGCTGCCCATGCAGGTCTCAAACACGTGGGCTCAGGCAATCCACTCATGTCAGCCTCCCAAAGGCGCGGGATTACAGGCTGAGCCACCAAGCCCGGCTTGTGTATTTTCTTTAGAGAAATGTCTACACAAATATTTTGTCCATTTTTAATTGGACTGTATCTTTATTATTAAGTTGCAACAGTCCTCTATATATTCTGGACACTAGACCATTGTCAGGTGTATGATTTGCAAATGTTTTCTCCCATCCTCTAGATTGTTTTTCATCGTCTTGACAATGTCCTTTGAAACACAAAAGTTTCTAATTTTGATGAAGTTCATTTTATTTGTTTCTTCTTTTGCTACTTTGACTTTTGCTGTCATACCTAAGAAACTATTACCTAATCCAAGATCGCAAAGATTTACACCTACATTTTCTTCTAAGTGCCTTATAGCTTTAACTCCTTCATTTAAATCTTTAACTTTGTATTTCTGTGAGGTAGGGGTCCAACTTCATTCTTCTGTATATGAATATTCAGTTGTCTCAGCACTATTTACTGAAACAAATATTCTTTCCCCATTGAATTGTCTTTTAATATTAGCTGTTTTAAATTGACCTAAAATGTTCTATAGTTAAGCATGGTGGTGGTGGCACAACTACGTATGTTTGCCAAAACACTTAGAACTATACACTAAGAAAAAGTAGATCTTATTGCATCTAAATAATATCTCAATAAACCTGACATTTTAAAATTCTACTTTAAAGAAATACTCACATATAGCAAAGGGATAATAATGTGAAAGGAACATATGCTTCATAAATATTGTAGCACAGTTTGTAATAAAGAGAAACTAGAAACCACCTGAATGTCTATCAAAAAGGAAGCAGCTAAATAAAACGTAGTATAGTCATAGAATTATATGCAGTAGTTCAAAGGAACACACTAGAATTATATATATTGAATGAATAAAGTTCAGAAATATTCTAGAAAAATAGAAGTGCACCCTAATTTATAAAATCACATATGTAAAAAAGATATACAATATGTAAGTAACTGAAGGGGTCTGTTAAAGGTCTAAAAGAATATCCAGCAAATTGACAGCACACACTGCCTCTGGAGGTGAAAAGACACCCTCCAAAAATATATTCACTAATTACCTGTGTGATTAAAAAATTAATAATGTGGAATTTGTATGAGTTGTAAACAGAGTTCCTAAGTATAGAATCATAGCTTTTAATTTATGCATCCATGTGTCTATCCCTGCATCCAACATAAGCACACACATGTGCATCCACACACACACATACACATACACACACAGAGGTGATCTTACCAGTTTGGATTTTCCACACTTTCCTGGAAGACAGACTCTTCCTTCATGGATGCATACTGTGTCCATGTAAGGCAATGACTCCGTATTGCCATGTTTCTTTCCTGAGGATTGAGCCATGATTCCTCTTCTAACTGGATATTAGGTACTTTTAAAATGCTCATCTGTCCAACAGAAGGAGAATGGCTTTCTCAATTTAGGACAAGCAGCTATATAGGGACCGTACTCAGAGTCTGTCTCAGTCTTAGATAATTAAGAAGACAAGTAACCTTGATAGACAGATGATGGCTCCCCAGTGGCTGCAAGTTTTTGATACCCAAATATACTATGGCCTAAGTGCTAGGGAGGACATGCAAATGGCCCACGATTTGTGTAGCTATGCAGTCCCTGGCCTGATGTCCCTAACGGCTAAACACTAAGCAAATTATCAGTCTCTTTCATGACTGGCTATGGCCTTCTTTAGTTGATGAATTCTCATAAAGCCCACTTACAGGCTCACAAGCAGGACAGTAGCCAGTAAAATATTTTCTTCACTTTAAACTCTGTCCAAGCCGGCTCAGTGGCTCAGCCTGTAATCCCGTGATTTGGGAAGCTGAAGTGAGTAGATTGCCTGAGCCCGCGGGTTCGAGACCCACCTGGACAACTTGACGAGACCTCATCTCTACAATAAATCAAAAATTAGCTGGGCGTGGTAGTGCGCGCCTGTAGTTCCAGCTACTTGGAAGGCTGAGGAGAAAGGATCACCAGAGCCCAGCAGGATGAGGCTGCGGTGGCCGGGAGTGGCCACTGCACTCCAGTCTGAGTGACAGAGTGAGACTCTAACTCAAAAAAAAAAAAAACACCTCTGTCCAAGACTTAGAAATGTACGGTTTCCCAGGTGGAGAAGACATGGAAAACTACAAAGGCAGAATTGTATGAGTCAGAGGTATCCTTAAATTATTTAAGAATTGAGATACAAGACAAAGTTGAACGCCTTTTTAAATAATAGATTCCAAGTGTGTATATAGGACAAAGGCAAGGCACACACTCTGGAAAAAGCCAGCAATAATTTGCAGCTAAAGTACAGGTTTTACCATCTGGAAAATAAAAGAATGTTCATTCGCATTGTCATGTCAGCTTTATTAGACTAAAGAATGTGACCGTCTTTTCATCCATGATAAGGAAGTGATGGAAGCTGCCATTGGTCCTACAAACAGCCCAGCAATTTAACTTGCAAGCTCATCGGCAGTAGCCAGGCTGGTTCTACATCACACACCATCTCTTCCTGTTGAAACAACCATCTGAGATGGTGTAAAAAGTGCATATCAAGATGCTTTCCACTGACTTCCTAATAATTCTAAAAGGACTCCCACTGAAAATCCCTCTATAGTTCAAACAATATGATTGAAAATTTCCACTTACCTTTTGCCAACAAAGAATCACCAGAGCGCTTAAGAATTTCAAAGAGAGAAAACAATTTGCTATCATAAAGATTTCATCATCAATGACATTACAGAAATGCTAACAGAGATCACTGAGAACATTACATTCCTGGAAATAACTATTATCCCTGATAGTGAATTAGAAATTGAAGTTTTTATCTTCCTTACTAAAGATCAGACTAAATATTTACAGTCTTTCCACTTCTGGTCATTCTTATCTAAGAGTCATTTCTAACCATGAACAGATTAGAAAAGATAGTCACTTCATACAAGATTCCAAATGTGTCTTTAAAGTAATTGTAGACCACCTCTATGTCCATTAAGAGCCCTTCACAAAAGAGAAGGACAGAGACAGAGATAGAGAAACCTGCCAAAACTGACACTGGATAGGAAAGAGCATTCTTCTTCTTCAGGGCTGTGACATAAGAAGAGGAGGCAAGTTCTAAAGTTCCTTTGCATCAGGAAATCCTGTCCCCTTCCATGACTACTGGAAATTACTCAATGCTATACCAACTCAACTCCTCGAATTAAATTTGAAAATGAACTTACCTTCCTTAAAATTTCTGGAACCACGTTCTGACAGATTGCAATTCTCTTTCTATAGATGACCCCTGTTGATTCATCTGAAAAAATAAAATTTTTACATTCAAAAAAAAAATTTGAGAAAATGTATTCTTCTCTTAATGTCACTCAACCTTTTAAGGTTCATCTCTATTTTCTACCTGTAGAATTCCGAGAGAAAATGTTTAACTCAAAACTCAGTTTCCCGGACCACTTTCCTGGGCCGCATCACAGATATTCCTTATCTGTGATGAAGAAATGAGAGTAAAACAGCAACTCACAACGCACATTCTAAAGCCAGGACTGAAAGAACCACACACCACTCCTTACTCTGGACTGTCAACGTCTGTGCTCCAACAACAGTGGCCTATGGGCCTCCTGCTCCATTCCAAAAAGAGAATGTTTTAACAAAAACAGGAAGATTCTGATTCTGCTACCTTCTGTGCCAAACATTCAAGCACAGGTTTCTGGCTACAAAATTTAAACCTATGTTAGCTAATTATATCAGCCTATTCTCTCAAAGGGAGTAAACTCCCTATACAAGAATCATTCTGTTTTGGAGTCGAGTTTCCATTACTGAACCAGGTATGTAAACCACGATCACTGTGAGTTAAGAAAAAGGGAGACAGAGGTGAGAAAAGGATAGTCACTCTCTGTGAATTACTGTGACTTAGCCTTACTGCTCCAGGGTTTCTCAAGGCCCAGGCTGTAAGAGTCCTGATCCCTGGGGCAAACACCCTGACTGACCAGACACTACTGACAAGATCTAAAACCTTCTGCCCTCTGGCATTCCCTTTTGCCACCCTTGTGGCACATACTTAAAAGAGGTTAGCCAATCTCAGAAGCAAAGAAGCCCCTGATGATGACAGAAACAACAATTCCATTCCTGTTTGGAATGTGCAGGTTGTTTTCTCATCTGATCTTAACAACCACCTCAAAAGAGGATTATTTTCCCATGAAATATGAAAAAACTGAGCCTCCAAAAGGCTAGGTCATCAAGGTAGGATTGTGCCAAATGACACGTTTCTCCCATACTGAGTCAGGAACATGAGAAAATGTTTTTTTAAAAAAATATATTTATACTGTTACAGAAGTGCAGAATGTATACACACACGCAAAAGACAGTTTTATTCAGGCATGGTGGTTCATGCCTATAATCCCAGGACTTTGGGAGGCTGAGGCAAGAGGACTGCCTGAGTCCAGGGGTTTGAGACCAGCCTGGGCAACTTGGCGAGACCTGTCTCCACAATAAATCAAAAAATTAGCCAGGCATGGTGGCATGCACCTGAGGTTCCAGCTACCTGTGAAATGGCTCTTAGGAACCCAACCAAGGTAACACCACTTTATAGTAGTTCTTCCGTTTTGCCCCTCAGTTCTCCCTCTCACCCCTCCTCCGTTTGACTACCCCAACTTCCCAGTAAAGCAGTAAACCATGTCCTGGCTGATGGGAGGCTCAAGATAAACTGCTGTTCTGCAATTGCTCAAGATAAACCGTTCAGTTCTAATCTGTAACCAAATTCCTGTTGCCTCCCCACCCAAATTGTGGTTTTTGCCTTTAATTTTTTTTTTTGGGTTGGAGTCTCACTCTGTCACCCAGACTGGAGTGCAGTGGCCGCTCCTGGCCACCGCAGCCTCGACCTGCTGGGCTCCGGCGATCCTTCTGCCTCAGCCTTCTGAGTAGCCAGAATTACAGGCATGCGCTACCACACCCGGCTGATTTTTGATTTATTGGAGAGATGAGGTCTCGCTGCCCA